TATGTCGGAACGTATGGGCTACCCACGAATTCGTTTGGATGAGGTAGAAGGGTATTCGGTACTGTGTGACTGCCCAGCCTTACTAGAGCACAGACTACTCTATCTTGTTAGAGCTCTTTTCCATGATCAGGACTATCTCAGAGATGCGTCACTAGTAAATATGATCGGTTTTATTAGAAATACCGGCTGGTTTTCACGGGGACCACAGGAACCACTAATCACGAAATTCGGGAGGTAAACCATTCTTCTTCAATATAAGGGTATCACAAAGGGCAACAAAGCCTAGGTATGAACTCGTATTATATGGGTACCAAGCGGTGTTAATCGATAATAAAAGAGGGAATGCATTTGATATAAAGGGAAAGGAGCTTGATCAAGTTAACTTGAGGATTGTAGAAGCCTTTCACATAAGGGATGAATTATAAATGTAGGCGAGAAATGTTCATACCTTCACTTGGAATAAAGAACCACAAAAATCGTTTGGGGGTGACCACAATGAGAGGAGGGAAGAGACCCCAACGAGAGACAAGAAGCTTCCTCAGAATAAATTAGTCCGAGGTTAGTATGATGTTACGTATTCTTAATGCACACACAGGCTTACTACCACTACTATACAAAATTGGATGATCGAATTTAGTCAAATATAAAGTTTGCGAGGAGAAAATTAAAATGTTGGAACACTTTCTCCGATATTATAATTTTGGGAGGGATGCTGCACTGATCGAAAAGTTCTAGGGAACTTCAACGTCCAGCAAACTGAATTTCTGAACATTGAACTATAATTCCTTTCACAAATCACTACATAAGGCTCAATACTGTTATTCTTGTCCCTTGGCAGAGATTCGATGAGACTACCGATAAAGCTTTGTCGGAACAGTAGATCATTCTATGTAAAACCTATCTGAATGAAGAATCTGACCTCTCTATCTGAATTGTCTTAAAGCCATATTCCTATTTAAAAAGCATTTTTATTGTAAAACTATCGATATTTTCAACACTACTATAAATTCGGTGTTATCAACCGTTTTCGTAGTCGCACCAATGTCGCTTCCAATTAGATTATCTGAAGAAATATTAATTCATTTCGATGCTACAAAGACATTTACATCCTGTGTATTTCATATGAGACATTGAAAATGTAGATTTAACAACAAACACTTATGAACTGGGTTAACTTATCGCAACACTTCCAAGTTTGTCTTAAATTTTTTTTATTAAATACATTTCTTTATTTACATAAATCACATCATAAGTTTTTATTTTTTCACAAATTTACATAAATTAATAATTGCCTTTAAAAATTGTGAACTAATTTTCATAAATTACATCCGTTTAAGAAACATTAACTGAACACAAAAAAAAAATAATTATAAAATTTACATTAAATTTTCATATTAAGTAGTTAAAACAAGACAAGAATTTTTTTACCCTACTCTTGTTGTTATTTTAGTCAATCAATGTTTTGTGGTTCATAATATTTAGTCTAGTACTTACTACTACTACACCATCCAACAAAGAAATTCATTCATAATTTTTATGTTTCAGTTATTCGTTGAAAACAAACAACAACTACTATGGCAAAGTTCCAATGCATACATTGACTTATACTACTAGTGTGCCTTGAACTAAGTAAAAATTGTGCTAACCCTGCAGTGCTGATGGATGGGCACAGAGAGATGATTTTGATGCCTAGTAATTTAAGTTCGTAGTTATCCTTACCTGTCAGTATAATGAATCGTTATACTAGTTGTAAAACTCCATATTGGTCATAATACAATATGCCAAATATTGGCAAATTAATTCCGAAATGTACCATAAACATCAAGAGTGTTTAGCCTTTCTGAGCTTGCGTAAGCAGTGATTTGCGTGTTAGGCGGAGACTCCATTAACGCATCTTTCCTCAGTCAGTAGAGTTAGGACGCGAATGCTCCAACATCAAAGTAGTATCCGTTTTAATGGGAGCATTAGGAACTAAGTGGCAATTGTTCACTTTACGTCACTAACTTTACGGATGATAACCATGACCAGTTACTTTTATCGAGTATTTACTTAGGACCTGCACGCAGTTTATCGCTCATCAGTCCATATGGTCGGTTATTGGACCATGGAACGATAAAATGATTTGTTGAGAATTCAAACTCCAAAAACTGTCGTAAAAACTTTTTCATCCGAAGGAGGAAGGGGCTGCAAACCACTTCCTTCGAAATAATACGATTTCTTTTTACATTTCGGGCTTAGTAGCCAATGTTCCCATCGACCGAACTCAATGTGCAAACCTACAAATATCGGAGTTGGTAAAATGTTTGGTCAGCATTTAAAGTGAACAGAAGGAAGCCGATAAGTTCTTTTGCATTTTTTAAATTTTACAGGAGAATCAAAAAACTATTTAAATTGAAAAGTTTGTTTCTATCAACGCGATTTATTTGTAGGAAATAAAGAAATTGTTTAATAGTGAAACCTATCATTTGTTATGATAGGTGATAATGGCGTATATAAAAATGGATAAATTAGACTTCTTACCATTAATATTTAAATGTTTTTGTAGATAGGGCCATTTGTTTTTTGTCAATAAAATCGATAATTATCGTTGAATTTTTGGTTAGTTAAGGCCGTTTACGTTTCAGGTGACGATATGTATGTTAATTCCACGTATTTTGTATGGTCCTTACTGAAAAGATTTGAAGAAGATTCCAACTGAGTGATGTTAGTTAGTTAGTTTGAAAGGAAGATCTATCTTACATCAGACCCAAAGAATTACATCTAGGCCACAATCGGGTCTTTGAGCTCTCCTTTACCAACCAGGTGGGAATCGATCCCACGACTAACGGACTGGCAGACTAAAACACTAACCTATCAAAGGCAGCTTTCGGAAACATTAGAGAATTGTTTCTTAAAACATACCTTTAAGTTATATGATTGAGGAAATTTTGGTTCTAGTGAAGATCCCAAGTTAGGCTTTTTGGATGGAACCACAAGAGAATCTATTTTGTCAGCATAAAGTTAAGTTTCACAACTCATGAATTTTTGATTCCTCGTATATATAAACCCCAACGAAGGTATATGGACCAGAATGCTGTTGGTAGCAAAAACTGTTTCTTTCTATGTGACACAAGTTCTGATCCGTTTAGTGCATTGAAATCTGTGTAGTTGCAAAACTAGAAGATTTAAAGAGGATACTGAGTTTGAAATTCATCGATAATAACGCAAGTATTGAATTTTACCTCCATTGCACCCCCGGGTCATGTTTCCTTAATGAAAAACCCTCATCTTGGTGTATTGCAATCCCGGGGTAAAGAGTTGCTACCAGTACCTCTAGTCTGCCGGGACTATAAACTGGTGATGTCACTTCACTCCTCGGCTAGTCCTTTTTATGATTTGATCAGTATTTCTCACCGGTAGTGTAGTAGAGAGCCGGTATATGCTGAGGAATTGTCAGGTTAGCGTTCATTGATTGTCTGTCATTCCGTAAAGAGATCTATATGATCATGGGAATGGGTACAGTTGACTTTGGAAATTTCTACATCCTTTGTCACAGATCGGTTCATGAAGAGGGATTCTGATTTATTATTTTGGGTATTTCGGGCTACCAAATACATCTCTAGGTGCTGTTGACAAACCAACATCTCAGCAGTGTGGTTGGGCGACTTTAAGAGATCAAGGAAAGCACTGGGGTGAGTCTTTAGATTATGAAAATGTTTTGTAGGGACACGATCATTTCTCATAACATCAATAGGGTGTTTTCGCCTGATGTAGGGTCCGCCCCTTCTATCGACTCTAACCAGTGCTTGTCTCATGACACCTGTTATTCCCCTACATGCCTAATATGGCAAGAGATTAGATAGATCGAGTACTTCAGTACATGGACCGACTCAGCCATGTACAAAAATTGCCACCTGATTTCTTCATAGAAGGATTCAGGGCCGATGGTAGACCGTTCTCAATGCTATCCAGTGGATGAAAAAGACCACTGTGCAATAAGTCCCTCAACACAGGTGTTCACGTACAGGACTTCGACAATCTTTACCTCCATTGCCGCTCTGCTGAAAATATTGCCAAAGAATTTGCTTATGATCGAGCGACTTATCTCTGAACAACGACCATAGCATCCAGTCGTTTCGACCGCATTGGTGTCAGTCGAGAAGATAGTAATACTGCAAAATATGGCTTCTTAAATGTTAGTTTGGTTTAAAATCAAAGTTTGGAATCTACTCTTTATGATGCCAAGATTAAGCATTATCTCTTTCCTTTACCTGTCGGTAAAAATTTGGTGATTTGCAATAGATAGGGCCAATATTAAGTTTTCACCTTCGTCCAGCTGATGAGATGTTTATCCAAAATACCGGTTGGTTCACCACAGGCAAGCTGCCACGGAATAGTTCTGAGAAAAGGAGTTTATGAGAAGATTTCTTAGGTTGAATAATAGTCAACGAGCCATTAAACCTACTCGATTACTTTCGATCTGTAAGAAGGTCTATTGAACTCATAACTGACAAATCTTCCAAAACTAGTTAAAATTGTAATGTATTAGGTAATCGAACACTAGTGAAGAAAGTACCTAAGCACCGAAAGCGGTACATTGTCCCTATCAAAACAGAAGGGAAAATACAATGTTAGTAAATCGGGTTGGCTGTTGGGTTTTTTTTTCTCTCTATACCCAACTAAAGAAAACAACAGTAAAGTAATAAAAAGAAAAAAGGCAATAACAACAAACATGCTGTAAGGTAAATTATAAAGAGAAAAAAAAACAAGAAAACAACAACAAAACCTACACACAAACACCTCATAAAATATTATCAACAATTTTGTTTTGATTACAATATTCGCAAACAAAACAAGAGGCAAAGCAAGGAGATAAAAACAAAAAAATGTTGCAGCAACATGTTCGCTATGGGAAAAACACTCAAACATGGTATGAACCAACCAACGAATCGAAGACTATTGAGTGGTTTTCTTTGAATTGTTGCTGGAAAAAACAGATGTTCGAAACAACTGATCGGTTTAGTCGGCAACCGTATGCCAATGAGTGAACTTCATAACGACGGGTGAAAAGAAACGTATTTAATGCGCGCGCGCACTCGTAATTAAAAAACAAATTATACAAAAACAACAATTAATAATGAGAAAAAACAAATAAAAAAATTAAACGTGTGTGTGTTTTTTTATTTATGAAATTGTTGAAACAACAACAAAATTTTTTTATATTTTAAAAGAAAAGAGAGCAAAATAAACAAAAATTAAAGAAAATCAAACGAAATAACGAGCGACTTATGGAAAAAGTAAAGAATAACAAAATTGTTAATGTAAATAATTTAAATTAAGAAAATATTTAGTAATAATTACAATATTTCGAATATATTTTAAAAATAAGAATTTAAAATTAAAAATATTTTTTTAAAAAAAAGTTTAAAAAACGTGTGTTGGCAATACAAGTGTTTTTTTTATGATTATTTTTTTACGCTGGTGATGTTAAACAATAAAACAAAATTTAGAGTGTTTTTTTTTTTTTGAAGAGAATGAAAGAATTGAAAAAAATAAAGCGTAACTAATTAATAACAAAATAAATATTTTCAAAACAAAAAAAATTTTGAGTAATTTTTTGATGTGTTTTTCTTACAAGTGGCTTTATATTAAAAAAAAAATAAAAAATCATAATTTTAAAAACAACTTAAATTTCTAAACAAAAAATATAAAAGCAAGAATACTCCCTAAGTGTTGCTATTAAAACATACATATACAAGTGGTTTTTTGGATTACGAAAAAAGCCATAAATTTAAAAATTAAAAATTCTATAAATTTTTTTATTAAACACAAAAATTACCTAAAAATAAATTTCAATTAAGGAAATTTATAACAAAAAATATTTTAAATAACAAAACAAATTTTTTTTTTGTTTATTTACGGAAATTTAAAACAAAAGTGTGCTAAAAATACAGGAAAACAAAATTAAAAAAAAAAAAAAAACAAAATTGTGTTAAATTTACAACTAAAACAACTATTTAAAAGAAAAAATTAAACAAGAAAAAATCTTTTACATTTAATTCTTTAAAAGAAAAAAAATTTTGGTTAAAAAAGCACGTTGTGGTTTTAAAACAATTTAATAATTCTGCCACATTTTTCATTCATTCATTTAAATATTATTTATTAATTGTGTGTGTGTTGTGATTTTAATAAAAAATATTTTTTTTTTTTATAAAAAAAGAAAAAAAAAACGGTGAGTGTTAATTTTATTTCTGCGTTAATTTCTTGAAAATTTTAAATGTTTATTTAAATCATTCATTAAGATTTTGCAAGTTTTTTTTTTTTTTGCTTTTGTGAGAGTGTTTTTTTTAATTTTTTTTTTTTCGGAGACAGATAATGAATGAATTTTTGTAGGTCATTTCGTTTTAATTGTTATAAAAAAATTGATAACAATATTTAAAATATTTTGGTACTAATTGAGTTTAATAATAAACATTTTATTACCAAAGATTTTATAGCTGCTGTTTGAATTTATTTAAAAATTTGTTAATATTTAAAAATTTGTTAATAATGTTAAACATATTTTATTTAAAATAAAAAAATATACCTACCTATGTGTAATTTAGTAAACGGTTCCATTAGCTTTTTTTCTTAAAATATTATAAAATTACAAAAATTTTAACCCTAGTACTTTAAAAAGGGCACAAGAAAATTTAAGTGCTTCCCAGGGTATCACATTTTCAGCACTTTAAAAGTTATAGTTCTGTAAAGTTTTGGAAATAAAAATTCTTCAACTCAAATCTATCCAAATAACAACTTTTTGCAAAAAATAGTTTAAATAAATATTTAATATTATTTAATCAATATTGTTGCTAAAGTGCAAAATTTTTATCAAAAATGTAAAGTTTTTTAAAGAATTTAGTCTAATGATTTTTCTTTACAAATTGAGTAGCATTAACAGCTTGAATTAAGTATTTTTGTACTTGATTTAAGTAGAATCGTACTTACCATCGCTTTGTACTGATTGAAGTACGAATTTCCTGATTCTTTTATCAATTAGTTTAAACTGCATTAAATCAAGAATACATTTAGAGAATAGGTTAAGCTTAAAGAATGTGTTTCTTCGTATTTCCTAATTTCAGAATGGGGGAAGCTTTAGAGCAGTCAGACTATTTATCAGACTATTCCCAAAACTACTCCTCTGCTAAAAGTATGGTCCTGTGTAATGCAGTAATGTTGTTTTCCTATTTTCAAACCGAACTTATGTATGGCAAATTTCATTAGTCTACTTGTATTTTAAATCAGTTGTGAACGTACAAGTCATTTTCTGAAGAAGATCTCATATCAAATATGCGACTAATATTTTGATGTGTTACGAACGTACCCAAAAGTACACCCCTCTTTTTTAATAGTGGTTATCGATGATTATGGGAAAAACCTTTTCGAAATGTAAGATGACATTACCCTCATATGTTACGGATATTTTATATAATTATAAAAATATATTTACGTTTAAGGGTTAATTTTTATTTTTTTCGATGTCATCATAAATAAGGGTCTTCATTATATATTTATACCCTACAACACTATAGTGGGGAGGGTATTACGCGTTTGTACTGATGTTTATAACAACAAAAAATATTGGTCCTAAAGTATACCAATCGTCTCAGAATAATTTTCTGAGTCGATTTAGTTATGTCCGTCCGTCTGTGTGTCCATGTAAACCTTGTGCGCACTCTACAGGTCGCATTTTTCAAGATAATTTGATAACATTTGATCGAAGGACCGATGCTTATTGAAAATGGTTAAAATCGCTCCATTATTTCGTATAGCACCCATACAACCATAGCCCCCGAATAGGGCTTTTGAGCTCATAAATATGTTAAATGTTCTTGTATAACTTCACAAAATTGCCAATATTTAGTTTTATATAAGTCTTAATGATACTGCCAATTTTCGTAATGATCGGTCCTCATTTGACCCTATCCCCCATACAAACATTTTTAACATAATCACTGATGTAGGGTATCATATGGTCGGCCATGCCCGACTATACATTTTTACTTGTTTTTCTTAGTTTCATTTAAATCGATCAATAAATCCAAGATAATTTCGCAATAGGGCACAGCTTGAGTTTTACCTTCACAGTTTATGGGTTAATATTGATCGATTTTACTAAAACTTCAGATATGTATATGCTTCCTATTATGTTGAATTTTATATTCTAAAAATGTTTTATATAAAATACATAACAGTAAAGAAAAAAGTCTGTTTTTCAAAAATTTTACATAACAGTAAAGAAAAAAGTCTGGTTTTCAAAAATTTTACCAAAATATTTTTTTCCGAAATCCTCAAAATTGAAAAAAAAACTTTGAGGATCTGTAGACAAAAAGTTAAACTTTTAAAATGTCGAAAAAAAAAGTTAACAAACTCATATGCTAAGTGAGCTATAAGTAAAGTTAGATTGATGAGTTTTAATAAACTAAAAGTGAACATTATGGGTGTGGAATTCTTTTCGAAGAAATTACTTGATATTTCACCTAAAGTTTTTGAAATTGTAATCCTAAATTTAACGTTACCGAATATTAAATTGTGTACTAATTAAGTGTCAGTGTAAAAATTACATAAAATCAATAAACAAACGTTAAAGTTTAGGGGGTTTAAGTTATTGCAATAGCAAATTCGAAATTTTCGCATTTTTTCTTAAAAGAACAATTATGAAGTTTGTTTACCCGTAAAAATCCCCTTATTGTAAATTTCTACGAAATCAAATGCATATATTTATGTACATATATAAAATAAATACAAAGATTTTATTGAAAATTACTTTTACTTTAAAGTATGTACTTTTATTAATTTTCTTATTTTAACTAAAAAAATATTATTTATTTAAAAAAAAACACAACCCCAATATTTTTCATTTAAAAATGTATAGAAAAAACCCAATAATAAGAAATCGATAAAAATAAATCAACAACAAATGCAGCTAGCTATATAACAACAAAAATAAACACAAAAACAAAAATAAATAAAAAAAAAATATTGTATATATTTTTATTAAACAATATTTTCGACAAAAAAAAAAACCAAAGCATATACAAAAATGATTTATGAATCAGAACCCCCAAACAATATTTCAAAAAATAAACGCAAAGAAATCAGAAATAAAAACAAATATATAAATAAGAAGACACCTTAAACCCCTTTTCCCTAACCCTCCCTTTTTTTCTACTAAAAGTACTAAAACTAGAAGAAGAATAATATACAATTATATTAAATGTAAACAAAGTATTTTAAAGAGAAACCACAATAGCAAAATCCTTTAATGAGTAAGAAATTCTACAAAAAAAATACTCTTTTTTTATAACAGAGAAATATACCGCAAGTAACTGTAATTAAAGTAACGAGAGTAGAGTCATACAGAGTAATTGTAAAACAAATGATGACAACAATAATAATAGCTCTAGAAATAGATAATATTTAGTTTACTATATTTACTTTTATATACTCTTTTGTTGTTCTTGTTCTTCTTTATTTTTATGACATTTGTTTTTGTTGTTTTACTAATATGCTTTGTGTACGAGTGAGTTGCTCTCCAAAACTCAAAAGGTTTGAAATAGGTTATCGAGAGTTATCAGTTTCAAAATTGAATTGAATGAAAAATATTGGAAAAAAAAAGAAGAGCCAACAACATATTTGTGGTGACATTAACAGCAAAAACAACAATAAGGAAAGAAATTATTAAAATATAAAACAAAAGAAACTTGCAAGAGTATAAACATAAAAATAATAGGGAGGTCTGCTATCATTCTGCAACGATTCTAAAGAATTATTATATCTTCATGTCTGGTAGTTTTCGTGACCTTTTCGAGAAATGGTTATCTGCCTGATTTCAGTAGCTCATAATATAGTCTTAATTCGCTTGGTTAGACAGTCTTCTATGAACAATTTTTTGTTGTTTACACTTTCATGTCTGAGTCCGGTACTGGACTTACTTTAACATTAATGTCTAAGTGAGTTCAGTGCCCCACGACATATTAAATACTTGTTATATTAAAAACTTTCATAAGTAGTTCATACATTAATCAATATATTATTATATAGATTTGACCATAAACTGGTCAATAGACTAGTCCATGGATTAGTTCTTAGACTAGTCTATAGACTAAACCATTGACTAGTATATATAACAATAAGTCGATTAGTAAATATACTAGTCTAGATTTTCAAGTCTATAGAATAGTCAATCGACTAGTCAAGAGTTTAGTCCATGGGGTAGCCAATAGACCAGCTAGCTAGTCCATAAAGTCCCCAATAAACTCGTTGATAGACTATAACCTAAAATAGTAGGTTAGGTTGATAGGAGGATATATACTACATCAAATTCGAAGATATACACCTAGGCCACTTTCGGGCCTGTTGTGCGCTCAAATTCAAGAAAGACAAAAAAAAAAAAAAATAGTTAATACAATAGTCCATATCCATATCTAATCCATAGAACAGTCAATAAACTAGACAAGAGACTAGTCCATAGATTAGAACTTAGACTAGTCCATAGACTAGTATGAAGATGAATTCATAGACTAGTCTATAGACTAGACCATAGACTAGTTCATATAACAATTAGTCGATTAGTAAATAAACTAGTCCATAGACTATATTTCCAAGTCCATAGACGAGTCAATCGACTAGTCAATAGTTTAGTCCATTGGGTAGTCAACAAGCTATCCGATGGACCAGCTAACTAGTCTATAAAGTCACCAATAAACTCATCGATAGGCTAGTCCCTAGAATAATAAATAGAGATACGAATCAATAGAACAGTGAATAAACTAGTCAAGATACTAGTCCATAGATTAGAGCTTGGACTAGTCAATAGACTAGTATGAAGATGAATTCATAGACTAGTCTAAAAAGACTTACTAAAAAGACTAACCCATAGTCTAGATTTGCAAGTCCATAGAGGAGTCAATAGTTTAGCCCATAGGGCTGTCAACAGTCTAGCCAAAAGAGCAGCAAGCTACCCCATAAAATCCCAAATAAAATCGTCGTTAGACTAGTCCCTAGAATTATAAATAGACGTGTCCATATACTAGTCCATAGCACAGTCAATTAACTAGTCAAGAGACTAGTCCATAGACTAGTATGAAAATGAATTCATAGACTAGTCTATAGACTAGACCATAGACTAGTACATATAACAATTAGTCGATTTGTAAATAGATTAGTCCATAGTCTAGATTTCCATATAAG